GTTCATATATTGGTTTAAACAATAATCCTAAAATATCATATATAATATTACAATTTTTAAAGATATGATACAAAAACAAGCTAAAAGCTTATATAGATTTGTCTCATATATGGTTATGTTACTTACTTGTGATATTTCAAGAAAATAATAAGTTACATGTTTCATGACGACGAAAGTTTGATTCAGTAATGTAAATAGATATGGTCGTTCTAACCACCACGCCATATATTCAAATAATAACATATTACTACAAGCGTTATAAATGTTAAATCATATATTTTCTATATATTGGTAATAATAATATTAGAGTGAACATTATAATAATATTAACATTATTACAAGCGTTATATTGTCTATATATAGCTAATAATAATATTAGGCTGATCGTTATAATAATATTAATATATTTTAGAGAAGACATAAGTTATTGGCATTGTTCAATTAAAAAAAACTAATCGTTTAATTGGTTATTTAAGTAATAATTGATATCATATTTATGAAAATACATATATGATTGGAATAAAAACGAATTGCATGACAAATACGGATATTTTAAGAGATACTTATTTCAGATTTATTAGATTGTTTTTCAGATAAGATTAAGCGAATAGAATTAATTAGTTAGTTAATAACTATGCTTAATATTGTTAGTCAAAGTCCCGGATACCCAAATACTGAGTTTAATATTAAACGACGTTTCGACGAGGATACTCTCGTATCATTTGCTCGTCGAGACGTTGCTTAGTATTAAACTCGGTAATTGTGTACCCATTCAACTGTACCTTTTGTTAATATGTTCAATTACTAAATGCCAATCACAGAAGTCTATAAATATATTGAAAATATTCTTAATCTATATATATATTGAAAATATTCGCAATCTATATTTATATGGAAAATATTCTTAATATATAATTATATGGAAAATATTTTTAATTTATAATTATATGGAAAATATTCTTAATCCAGTTTATCATGTAACTAACAAGAATAATTGTTCAAAATATACAATACTTTTTTAAAAAAATTATATTAGAATATTCATTATCATGTCATAATATTATATTTACAAAAATATACCATTGGCACCAAAATCAATAGGTGTCATTGGGTGTTGTTCAATTAGGTTTTCATCTATGAAGTGGATGTTAGTTAAAATTTATATAGTAACTCGACAATCAAGCAGACCAACGAGAAGATGATTGTCGAAACGTCGTACTTTTATAATAAAACCACTAATTATTTCCCATATAAATTGTGTTCTGTTATATGCGTGTCCTAGTCTCTAAATGCTACTTAAAGATTGACCTCATAAAGTAAATATATTTAAATAAACAAGTTGCTACCATCGTAATTAGACAAGGGCGAGGCCATGGAAAGTCTGTACAATATTAGATTTAAATCAGTAATTCTGGAAATTATTATCCATCGATTAGGCTAAAATACTGCTAATCTTTTATATTTTTTTATATTAGACAAGGGCGAGGCCATGGAAATTCTGTACAATATTACGTTGAAATCAGTAATTCTGGGAATTATTAGCCATATATCGATTAGGCTAAATATACTGCGAAGCTTTTATGTTGACTAATGGCTAAAATTGATAAAATTGGTTGGCTACTAAATATATTTTATTATAAACACCTATAAATGGCTTAAATGTTTTCATTGCATTCTTTAATTTTTTTTAAGTGTTTACAAACCAATAAAATGTTTGTAGAAAATAAATACTTTAATCTGTAACTCATTATCTCTCTAATATTACTAGAAGCCAGGTTTTAAAAAGATAATCCACTTTAGAGGTTTGTTGTGCTAAAACTTAAGTGAAACCTTTCATTATCTCGCGAAATTTTGACAAAACATGGAGTCGATGATTGGTTTAAAAAGATTTACCACGCTGTTTTTAATCTTTAATACAGATAGGGACTGCTCCCTTTAATTATACACGATGGGTAAACAAACATCGCGGGTTTAATGATAATCCATTAGTTTTATTTTCATTAACATCAAATATTCGTATATTAGCCAAATACTACCGATGGTTCCTCATTCAGTGTTGGGAAGATCCGATGAGAAAGGTGGCTCCCGAGGACATAAAAAAGTCAATCGTGTTTTATCGAAGAACTGTTTCAAATGTACGTTTAGATAATGCAAGTTTAATAGCGTATATTGGAATATTTAAGGTGGCTTTCGTGTTTTATCGAATGTACGTTCAAATAATACAAGTTTATAGAATATATTGGAATTTTTAAGGTGGCTTTTGTGTTTATCGAAGAACGTTGAAATTATTCAATCAATGTAGATTAGTTTGTCATGTGCATATTGGAATTTTTATGGTGACTGTCGTGTTTTATAGAACGTTTGAATTATACCACATAGATTAATTTGTCAGGTGCATATTGGAACTTCAAATTAATGAATTATGAATGGGATTTATGTCTATGTATATTCAGTGTTTCAAATGTAACCGAACAATATGTACACTTTCTAATTTATGGTGTATTATAAGATAATGGTATCACGTGGATACTTTACGAGGTTAGTAGGGTTATTCAAAGAAATGTGGTCAGTATATGATTTAGTTTTTGGTAAGATGGTTACTTAGTCTGTAGATCAACAGGAGGAATTTGGATAAGAATTATTATTTAATTATTATGTTATAATATTTATCATAGTGTTTTTACGGATTCAGGCCGCTGAGAAATTTGTGTTTCAGATACTTTGGGGTACTCAATATGATAAGAAGGGTGTGTAGAGATTTGTGGATTCTTCAGATACTCTTTGGACAATTTGACAACAAGTGAGATTCTTCAAATACTATTTGGATTAAGGACATCTTTTCGTTCTCTTTCAGCTGGTAGTGTAGAGTGATAAAGTGAGATGGAATTTGTAGTCAACACAGTTCGCGACTGGAATATTGCCCCTCCTTCTACTGTTATTGACGAGTCTTCCAGAGATAGTGGTTTCGATTCCCCCACAATTCTAGATAAGGTATGGTAATAATTAGTTTTTTGTTTCTTTTTTAATGGAATCTGGTGCCTTGGTCATCAGTTAGTTGGTTGTGTAGAACTTTGAAGGAACAGGATGATTTGGCTTCAAGATTATTAAAAACAAAATTAGATTAGTGGGGTTCTGTATGGGAGTAAATGGCTAATCAATACGTTCTACCAAATTTATGATTTGGTTGGAATAAATGGCAAATACTACGAATTTTAAACATACATTATGCAAGAGCTAAATCTACCTATTGCAGGTATTTCTTTAGGCCTGAAATGTTAATTAGACATTAATTAACTCTCGGTGCCATCGCTAACCTGCGATTTTTACTGGATTTGAATACATTTTGTGATGGATGATTTAACGTCAAAATGGATAATCGAGACATTTACTAGGACACTGCGCGGAGGATGTTACTGCTATAGAAAGCACACATCGTCAAATTTAAATGACAATTAGTTATGCCGTAAATACTTTACCAGTTTACACATTTTGCCAAGATACCATATGCATATTAGTGCTATGGAAAACCCAGCATACACATTTTGCCAAGATACCATATGGGGCATATTACTTCTACTACTATGGAACACCTTAAAGGCAGCGACTTAAATTCGCTAAATAATATCTTGATCACGAATAAGCCATATTAATGAATACATATTCTATTTGCTTAATTAAAGTTCATTGTTTTTATTTGCTTATAGGCCATGGATAAAGCGCCCTTGGGAGCCACACCAGAAATCGCCAATGTGAGCGGATTATCTTTTCAACTGAGTCGACGAACCTTAGATTTCTTTGCTGTAATTGACAATGAAAACAAAGTGGACATAGAAAATGACGATTCGGTAAGTTTACGGGGACCAAGGTTGTATCCAATGAAAAGTGTTAGAATTTAACTCCAAGCGGTTGAATAATTACACTTTTGTATTAAGGGATTTAGATAAAGTGGAACAGGCTTCGGGTTATATTCGAAAACAAAAACCACTCGTACTTTGATGATAATTTTCAATACTGATAAACGATTGGTCCTTACACCTTAAATCTTATACTAACCAATCAAATACAGGCAGCCGTATTTTGGATAAGATTATTACGTTTGATCGGACGATTAGGAAAATTAGAAGCCATTTTGACTCGAAGCTGGACACATCAACCAGACATGATTTGTTTTAATTTGGGAACATTTTTTCAGGTTTTTCCTTTTCTTATGTCACCTGTCAACGATAAAAAGAGGCCAGTTTCTGCTGAACTTAGTTTTGAGACGTCTGAGTCACCACTGTCTCATAAAAGATTGAGGAAAGATGACAAGAATATGTTTGCTTCACCAAGGCGTTGTGGTCAAAGATTCAGAAAACACATTGTAAGTTTGTTTTTTAAAAATTTAATCTCACAAGTTAATTGTCAAAAATTTTGTACCGACATACATCGGTTTATATTGAGTTACTTGGGTTTACGTCTGCTTTCACCTCAGACATCAAACACGTCCTGATTAAAATGAAATGAAATGGGGTTTAACGTCCTGCTGTTCTGTTCCGAACTGGGCTAATGAAGACGGGCATACGCCATACAGTGTGCTATGAGGGAAATTTTGCCTGGGCAGCGGCAATATGACCTACTGTTATATCGAATTCCAACTGTCAAGGGATCTTTTACCTGCACGCCAATGTATACGCGGGAACTCGCATTTTGGTCCCATCAAAACGACTAGACAACTGTCCTTGTCAGACCCTCCGTCCTGCATCACTAACAAGCTAAATTTATTTTGGCTTCAAAAAATTTAATTCACATAATCAACTCTCTATAGAACATCGTATGGTCTTGATATTGAATGGATTATCGTAGCAATAGAACTTGATAAAAACTCAACTTTTTATTTCGCATTATCATGTTTTGAACTATTATAGCTAGAACGAAATATGAATCTTTAATGCGTTTTAACTTAGAATAGACTGAACTAAATTATTGCTATAAAATTTAATGAAAATATCGTATTACAGTCTATGCCGTGTAGCACAACATCCATATCAGCACCATCACCGCCACCCACCAATGAATTAAAGATTAAAGATGTGTTAGAGAGAATGGATGAAGAAACAGCTTTAATTGGTGACGGATCAACAGCTCATATTTTACCTACTATTGCTGGAAAAAACGCTGATTTGGTATCAATATCACACGAAACAGTAAGTTATTATAAATATAAATAGTTATTAATAGTCTCTCGAGTGGTGCAATAAATACCATAGGAAAATAACTATTGTAAATGGCCAAATCGAATGTCGATTTTACTATGCAATTCGAATATTCGATTCTGTGTCTAGTCTTTCGGATGGTGCGATAAATACCTTAGAGAAATAACTGTTATAAACGTAACGCTATTAGTGGGCAAATCGAATGCCGATTTTACTAATATTCGTATGCAATTCGAATGTTCGCTTCAATTGAAATGATAAATGTTAGACGTTTTTATGATACTATAATATATAAAGTACGATATAACGAGAACCTCGGGGGATCAGAATTCAACCCGGAGGCACAAACAATGTACCTCATACCATGATATACGACATTAACAACTCGTTAACAAATCAAAGACGAAAAAAGATTTATTATTGGGAAGATTATAAATTATGATACATAAAACATGTTTTTTATTAGCGATAATTCAAAAATTATAATAGGAGAATGATGTTATTTTATTAGACGGCTGATGTAAAAATGATTTATTTAAACATGTTATTTTATTAGCGATAATTCTAAATTATAATAGGAGATTGATGTTATTTTAGTAGACGGCTGATGTAAAAAAAAAATATTAGAAATTTATTAAACATTATATAATAAACATGTTTTTTATTATCGACAATACAAAATTATAATAGAATAATTTTATTTTATTAGATGGCTGATGTAATTAATGGTAATTATGATGAACAGATTGATGAATATACCGTTATTGACTGTCGATATCCTTACGAGTTTGATGGTGGACATATCAAGGTAGACAACTCTTGTTTGTTGGTCATATTCTAGTAATGTGAAAGAAAAAATTGCTTTTCAACTTATCCTAGGCATATCCGTATTTAAATTTTAAAAAACTTAGACTGAATTGTTTATTCCATATTTTTTTTTCATTTTATTTTTTAAACCTAATTTTATTTCTTTTTTTTTTAAACTTAATTTTATTTTTTCCAATTGTGTTCATTACAGGGAGCTCTAAATTTGTATACAGAACAAGCCATCTCTGAGTTTCTACGAACACAATGTACAATGGATACAGGTTGTCGACGAGTTCTTATATTTCACTGTGAATTTTCTTCTGAGAGAGGCCCAAAATTGTAAGTAAATCATTGATACAAGCTACACTGATTCAAATTCGCTAGATATGATTCAAATTTGAAATGCCAACCCCATTTTGCCACCCCCTTTTTCATTCTGTCTCCATCCTTGACCTTCCATCTTTTCTCTCTGTTAAATTTGTTTTTCATTTCGAGTGAACCTTGTTTCGTTACCGAACCGGGAAAAGTACAGCGCATCATACATTTATTCTTTTAAATAAAAAAAAAAGTGGTGTGTCTTATCCGCGTGTGTGCCCTATGGGTGTCTGTTTATGCTTATAAGGGCTAAGAGGGAGGGGGGGGGGGGTCGAATGGTCGAACACGTGCGCATTAGTTCATAAGGCGTAGGGTCGCATGCCTACCTTTTATGCTTACATTAACTTTGGAAGGTTATATTACGTCAATTTTTTAAATTTCAGATTACGTTACTTAAGGAGTGCTGACCGTAAAGAGAACAGCCATCGTTACCCGTACCTGAGTTTCCCTGAAATCTATATTCTAGAGAAGGGTTACAAAGTCTTCTATGAAAATCAACAGGTAGGTACCATGTTTTGTTTAGGGGTCTATTTGCATGCATGTAAAGTCTAGGCACAACGCCATTCAGTATTTACAAAGATGAATTGAATTGGAATGAAATGGGGTTTAACGACATGGAATGGGGTTTAACGTCCTACTGTTCTGCTCTGACTAGGCATATGCCATACAGTGTGCTATGAGGGGAAATTTTGTCCGGAAAGCGGCACTACGACCTACTCTTATTTCGAGTTCCAAATGCCAAGGTATCTTTTACGTATACGCTAATGTATACACGGGACCTTGGTTTTACGTCTCATCCGAACGACTAGACAGCTATCCTAGTCAGGCCCCACGTCCGTCACCACTGACAAGGGGAATCCACACCGAAATATCCCGACGAACTTGCTCAGCAAACACTATCGGGTTTAATGTCCCACTGTTCTGTATGATGAATTGAAATTCTAGACAACGTCTGCAGACGATGTAAAAACAAATAATGCTCTTCGCAAAGGCCTAAAAGACCCCGTCAATCCATGCACGATCGACATGACACTTGGCGTTGTTGCTGAGTTGCCAATAAAATTATGAATTGATTGACGGATTTCGATTGTTGATATGACGTCACAATTCAATATGGCTGCGATGACGTCACACTCGATCCCTATTCCAATTGGATTATATAATTAATTCATTTTTATCTCTATTTCAGTCGTTGTGTGAACCCTGCGCATATACACCCATGTTACACAAAGATCACAGTGCAGACCTACGTCATTTCCGTACAAGATCGAAATCCTGGACTGCCGGTGAAAGAAAATCCAAGTTACGACGATCCTTAATGTCACCGTATTAAACGGCGTGTATATAAACAATACCAAGTGCTTTCAATACATCGGGATGTGCAATATATGTGTTGTTTGTGGTGTCCTGTAACAGATACAATGTGACATGTGCAGAGGTTTGGTATTGCTAGGGACAATGTCAAATTTAGGGCCTAGTAGGCTACTCAGAAATGTAAAAAGGGAATACATTTAATAAGTTAATTTTAATTTCATTCTTTGATTGGCATCGATCACCTCTCTGCACACTTTCTTTCAATCGGATTAAAGCACGCATCCTATTGCGTTTCGTTTTTTTTTAAACAAACAGATTAATCAATGAAATGACGGCCATTGATTTGAAAGAACGAAAAGAGAATTGATCCAAGGAAGGAAAATTTAATTCTACATTCCCTGCGAAACATTTGTCACATTGATGTTCATTTCTATCCTCATTCGTCCATCTTTTATTTCCTTCTCCCTTCTCTATCCTCTTTTATTTCTGTACGTATTATGATTTATGTTTGTATATATTATAATTGTAATTATGCATGAGCTACGTAGATGTAATTGCATGAGCTACGTAGATGTAATTGCATGAGCTACGTAGATGTAATTGCATGGGATACGTAGATGTAATTATGCATGAGTTACTTAGATGAAATAGTGCATGAACAACGGTGTATTTATATTTTTATAAACAATGATATTTATTTGCATGAAGCATGAAGTTGTTTTTTTTATGATTGATACCATGAAATGATATTTTAGTTGTTCTTCTTCTTTCAACCTCTCGCTATATATTGTCAAGATTAATACCATCCTATGCAATGCTATGTAAAACCATAAAATGACGTGAAATGACGTGAAATTCTATGAAATTATGCAATGATTTGCTTTAAAAAGCCATGAAATGCTTTAAAATGCTATAAAATGCTTTAAAATGCTATGGAAAACAACATGAAATGCTTTAAAATGCCATGAAATGCTTTAAAATGCTATGATATACTTTAAAATGCTATGAAATGTTATGAAATACCATAAAATGCTATAATTGATCTATGTCTATCTTTTTTCCTTTCTTCCTTCACCCTCTCTATATATCTTTTATTCCTTCTTCTTTACCTTTTGCTTTATTCCTTCTTCCTTTATTCCTATCACTTTATATCTCTATTTATTGTATATTTATCAATCTTGCATGTGCTGTATATGATATGTATTTTGGATCTTACCAATAAACTGTGCATGACTTCATTACTTGTCTTATCCGTCTTCTTTATCCCAGTCGGTGCAGAAAAGTAATATCCTAACCTCATTTCATTTATAAGCATCCCTGCAATGGCCGAGAAAGTTCATCAGCATTTTCCGATGTGGTTTCCCCTTGTTTGTGGTACAGGATGGAGGACAGCTGTCTAGGTGTTCGAGCCGGCGCGAATCCCCTCGTTACAGACGGTGCACCAGGGGTTGTGGGTGTCCCTCAAGAAGTTTTATGATTCAAGCTTCTTGGTGTCCCGCTGTATTAATTTAAATGAAATTAAATGGGGTTTAACGTCCTACTATTCTGCCCCGACTGCGCTAATGAAGGCGTACAGACGCTATATACAGTTTGCTATGAAGGCAATTGTGCCCGGACAACGGCGCTATGGTCTACTCTTATTTCGATATCCAACTGTCAAGGGTTCTTTTGCGTGCACGCCAATGACTATACCGCACTACACTAGCCGGCGCCGATTGATGTGTCATATACACCAATCCCTGTTTACACTTGGCCGCGATAAGCGCACCGTTCTCGGAACGGTACCAGGCCGCGATAAATTTAAAGAAATTGACCCGTTTATATTACTCTAAAATAACCGGCCTCGGAACCGTGCCAGACACGCCAAATGTGGAACTCTTCACAGAAAAGTTGATTATTGCAGTTGATTTGGTTTGAGTAGCCAATTTGACAGAACTGATGACAAACTACCAACATGCGCGTGAAAAAAAGGTCAAGGTTCATTTGGCGCATGCGCAGTAATCCGTACTAAAACCATGCTCAGACCGGATAGCGTGTACACTACGAAAATTTAACCGCGCCGTGCCTGGCACCGTACCGAGACCCCCCCTCCCCTACTTCAGGCGTGCCTGGCACTGTGCCGAGACGACCTCACTTCAATAAGCCAAATTGGCACTACAAAAAATAACCTTGCCGTACCTGGTACCGTGCCTGGCACGCTTAAAATGTATAATGTAAACGGGGTCATAGTTCAGTTTAGCATGAGCTCTTCAGCTCTTTCCAATCTCGTGGGGTTTTCTCCGGTCATTGCTAAAGACCTCTACCCGTAAACAAATCATTGAAATAAAATTGAACCATATAATGTCCATGTATGGCCTAGTTTGTGTACAGTGGATACGAAATCTATCCCCCCCCCCTCTCTCTCTATCAATAAATAAATAAATAAATAAATTCTTTTGCTATTCTTTACAAGCTGGAGCCATGATGGTTATGTGAGTAAGACGCTGGCTCGCTTGTCTGTAGGTCTCTCTCCCCTTCTCTCTCTCTCTCTCTCTCTCTCTCTCTCCCTCCACTTCCCATCTATCTCTTAAATTAACTAGGAAATAAAAACCACCTGTAATTCAAATCAAACGTTATATTTCCATCCGCCCCTTGTTGAGTTTCCTGTTATTCTTGCATTATGAATAAACAGACACGTCCGATTTGTAATTTCCTTGACAATCTAAAGCATAAAATGTTATATCCATCTTTATTTTTCTTTGATGGTATGTTTATGTCCCAAACTATCATAAATAAATGTCGGTTTTCAGATCACTGCATATGGTTGTGCAAAACAGATCGATTGTGCTGTTCAAATTAAAGAGAAACACTATAGTTTGCATAAAGAAATTGGTCATTGTTTTAGGGATGTCTAAATATTAAGGCCACTTGCAGATTTCGTCAAGGCCAGGAGATGTAAACCGGGTAGACCCGCCAACCCATTATAGCTGCAATGCAGTAAGGTAGTGTAAAAATGCAGTAGAAACCATGATTTAGCTGTAGGTTTCCAAAAACCAGTAAATTCGCACTTCCAAGGGTAATTAATTTGGACATCGATTCATTGAACTGCAGGCCCAACAACACAAAAATAGAATTAAACGGGTAATAGATATAAAATATACACAAGCATTGTTATTCATCAAAATTGAATATGTAGCCTACAGAATGAAATAATGTCAAAAATACATAAAATTACCACTTTAACTTAGCATGATTTTAAATATATCTTTGTGTTCCCATTCTGGGAGTGTTTTGTCAATACTGTGTCATAGAAGATAATTGGTGTGCTTATCAGATTTTATAGTGTTTTTACATAAGGAATAGAGAAGGGGGGGGGGGCATCAACTTAAGGGTTTTGTTTTTCTGCCGGGATTCCCAAAATCTGTTTTTACATTTATTCGAGAGATCGTTCCGTGTAAGTCAGAATCAGTGAAATTAATGTTACAGGCTGTGTTGCATTCGAAATATTGTATTTGATGCTGTACGCGCCCACGAACAAATATGTCAGCCATTGCTGCCGTAAACAGGTCGCTATTTGTTTATTTTATCTATACGCATTTTAAGAGTATTGGAACACGTACCAATAATTATATCCGCCTTATTAACTCTAAAATAGGTTGAAAACAAATCTATTAGCAAAATTACACCTTACAATATCCCAAATCGATATGATAACCGAAAGTCGCGATCTTTTTTGTTTACATGCACGCCTTAGTTATATAGTTTTTGCGAGAAAATTAAAAGAAACTCTTTGTTTGAAAATGAGGCAGAATGCAGCACTATGCGTCTCTAAGAAATTAAATGGGGTTCAACCTCCTACTGTTCTGTTCCTAAACTGGGCTAAAAAGACGGGCATACGCCATACAGTGTGCTATGAGGGAATTTTGCTCGGACAGCGGCGCTATGACCTACTCTTATATCGAATTCCAACTGCCAAGGTATCTTTTACTTGCACGCCACTGTATACACGGGTCCTCGGTTTTTCGTTCCATTCGAAGGACTAGACACATGTCCTGGTCAGCCCCCCCCCCCCCAGTCCTTCATCACTGACAAGGGGGAACCACGCCGGAAAATCTGGATGAACTTTCTCTGCCAATGCAGGGATCGAACACCCGACCTCCAGACTAGCGAGCCAGCGTCTGACCCACTTAGCCACCGTGAACCCCACACAAACTAGATGATTTCGGGACTGACATATTAAAACAAAAGATAACCTAGTTGCTAGAAACTAGGAAGTTCGACATCAATTCATATCCATTTAAATAGAAGATGACAGACCGTATTTTAACCAATTCGTTTCTTTAAAATTCTTTTGAATATTTAGTTAAGTATAATCCCGTGAATTATTTGACAGATGAAAGATGACAGAGTCTTCTACATGAATACAGATTCATGTAGATCTTATTATAAGTTGATCCGTTTCCACCCTTTATCATTATGTATAAAAGGAGAATACATTGGATTGATGTTACTGAAGCAGCTGTTAAAATCATCCTTGATTCATCATGTTGCTGAGAGTCACTATTGTATTGTCTGTTATTTGTATACTGTCAACAGGTAAGTGTTTATCAACCATAGGGGGGTGGGGGCCGAATGGTTAGCGTGTGCGCTTGTGTGCGTGTGCTTTCTCCATCATCACTGGGGGAGGGGGATGGCCGAATGGTTACCGTGTGCGCCTTGTATCAATAGGTCTGTCATTGAGTCAACTGGCGTGGTTTCGATACCCCGTGGGTTTTCTCCGGGTCGTCCGGTTTCCTCCCACAGCTAAAGACCCCTACGCGCAAGCGGGTTATTGAAATAAAACTGAACCATATGTTAGTCCCGAAATGACCTAGTTTGTGTCGGGTGGACGTTAATATCTCTCCCTCTCTCTCTCTCTCTCTCTCTCTCTCTCTCTCTCATATATATATATTCGAGGGAGGTGGCTGCACCAGGACTGCCCAGAATTAGAGTTTTCAAAATTTCGGAAATCCTTAAACCCGGGATTCTCGGTTGAATGTT